GCAGGCAGATATAGTCTGAAATGAGTCTTAGCGCTGAATCTCAGGTTGTTTCAGACTGTTCATGGGATTCCAGGAAAATACCAAGTCTGGGTGCAGGCACTGGGAAGTGTGGCAGTCCTCTGGGGGAATTCAGATTAATTTTTACCCGGCTCCTAACAGATGCTGATCAAGTGTGTTGGACCAAAACTGGAGTGTCTAAAGTTAGAACAGATTTAGCAGTCTTACTAAATGAAGAAATCCTGACGTACGTTACTGTCTATCTTCAGCTCCCATTTAACTTAGTGGGATTTACATTTGATCAACAGCCTAAAAGGTCAGACATCTTTTAAATAGAAACAGAATCTCAGTTTCAAAGAAGGCCAGGAAACTATAGTTTAGGCTTTTAAGAGCCTTGTAATGTGTGGGTAATATCTAAAATTAATGAAGGGAGAAAAAATGGTAAACCCACTTTATCGATTTGAGTTTAGACTGAGTTTCTAACCAGATGTGGTAGAGGGACAGGGAGAAGGAGAAGCCATATTTTGCTACTTGGTTTTGTACCAGCTTAATTAAAAAAACCCCACAAATATTTGACTTGTTGTTTTTTGTTTCCATAGATGGTATTACTAGAATGTGTAGCTTGGTTGTGGCTCAAGAAAGCAACTTTCAAATATAATATAAAGAATATGTGGTTGGGTTTGTTTTTTTTTTTGTTTTTGTTTTTTTAATGCATATGTTGGAGAAAATCTCTTTAACATCTTGTCGACAGAACTCTGGCACGTCTGTAAACATCATGTAAACTCTCTTGACTTCTGAGGTCAGTTTTTATCTTGGCAATAGGTTGCAGCCTTTAAGGAGTAACTAACTCTGTGTCTCCTGAGTGAGCAGCAGTTGCATTATGGCATGTATGTAAGTATGCCAACTTTTAATGCTTTAGATGGACTTGGCAGCTTACCAGGCCTTTATACGTTTTGCTCATTTGAAGCCTCAGGAGTATTCTTCCATGTGTGAGACTATTTTATATGATACGCATATATGCTTATATGCAATATAATTAAAAATAACTTTTTGTTCTATTTTAGATGTATCGATTTTAATATTCATCTTTTCATATATATGTTAAACTTTAAAATTCATACTAAATTGGTAGCCCTTTAGCAATCAGTAAAAATATTGGCTGAGGATAATGTATGTTGTTAAAGACAGTCCCTTTTTGGCAACTAATAAACATTGGAGGAGTTGAAGAAGAGAAGCCTCATGACAAGAAGCAGCACAACAATCAAGACGAATGCAGTATGTTGCACCTGGGACAAGGTCCATCAGTGCTGGAAGGTGGCACGAAGAGGGACCTGTCTACTCTGCTTGTGTGACTGACTGCACTGATGTGCTGTTTAGCATGGAGAAGAGGCAGGACAGAGTAGTGACAGGACAAGGGATAACGGGTTAAAACTGAAGCAGGGGAAGTTTAGATTGGATATAAGGAGGAAATTCTTTCCTGTTAGGGTGGTGAAGCACTGGAATGGGTTGCCCAGGGAGGTTGTGATTGCTCCATCCCTGGCAGTGTTCAAGGCCAGGTTGGACGAAACCATGGGTGATACGGTTTAGTGTGAGGTGTCCCTGCCCATGTCAGGGGGTTGGTACTTGATGATCTTAAGGTCCTTTCCAACCCTAACTATTCTGTGATTCTATGATTCTAAGAGAAGGCTAAGGAGGAACCTGCCAGGCTTTTGCAATCTAAAGAGAGGGCCAGGCTTTTTTCAGACATGCACAGCAAAAGGGAAGAGGCAATGCCACAGAGAGCATCAAGTGAATTTCACAAGAGAAAACTCTTCACTATGAGAGTGGGTTTTGAGCCCTGGAACAGGTTGCCCAGAGATTGTGGAGTGTCCATCCTTCAATACTCTAAGAACTTGCTTTGACAAGACCCTGAGCAACCTGACTGAACTTAGAAATTACCTCTGTGTTAAAAAAGTGTTTGCAGTAGATAACTTCCATGGATACCTTCCAATGTTATTTTTCTTCTTTCTTTTTTTTTTTTTCCTTCTGTGATTCTGTGTCAAGCTGAAAGCAAGATCTAAGTTTTCTTGTAGAACATTACTCAGTTCTTAATGGAGTGTGTAACTGAATGGATTTCATTCTAGATTTCATACATTTTCCTTCCCAAATGCCTTTAAAATCCTTAGTTTAGTGAATTGCTTGAATATTCAGCTTCATGGTGTGAATCTTGCATAAACTTAAAAATAAGGAGCTTTTGGGGTTTTTTTGAAAAACAAGCTTAGAAAATTTGCCTTACAGTTGACCTGGAGGACCTTGACTGACTTGAAGCTTTGTGTAGATCTTGATGCCTGTCTGCTGATACGGCTGTGTTGCTGCAGGCTCTATTGTAGATAAACCAACTCTGCAGCATAATCTTTATTTTAGCTAGGAATACTTGGTATTACAACTTGCTGTTGTAGTACTCTTTCAATTTAATTCTGTGGGACTGTTCTATGATTTGGCTTGGTGGTGTTGGCTGTGTAGGGTATGTGGGTGCTAGTCGTCAGCTGAAGCCCGTGTCTCGCCAAAGTAGTTAATCTTTGAAAATGGGATTTTATTGTTTCTGCTCTTGCTCCTTCTGTATAATTTTTTTTTTTTTAAGATAAAAATGTATTTAAAGCCTACTGATGCATTTCTGGTTCCATTATATTTTATTGCAGGGTCATCTTGTAAGATGTTGAGTAACAGTATAATACTTGGGAGCTTTTGTCTCCATAAAGAAGAGAGCTTTTCATGCTGAATTTAATGGTATACAACCAAAAGCCAGCAGCAGCTCCCAGCTTTGCATGCTCATTGTTTATTCTCTAAAGATAAATCACTTGACTTGGAGTTTGCATTAATGGCAGATTAAGCTGCCAGTGTAAACATTGTAGGATTGAGTATTTTGAAAGATGTGTGTAATTTTGTGAAGGAACTAAGCCCACAAGTATCCGGAAGCAATGTAATGTTGCATGTGTTCAAATAATATTTTGCAATGTTCATGAGAAAAGGAAGTAAGTATTTAGAAAAGCATTGGTGAAATGGTAACAGTTTATGATTCTTAATTTTTGTTTACTGAAAATAATTCTTGACACATGGGGCTTTTTACTGGAATTTGCATGAGAAGTTGATCCTGAAAGTAGGAGAGAGACACTTATGTTACTGTACAGCCCCAAAATGTCGTTATTTATAATTGGGTAACCTTTTAATTTACTTTTGACAGTAGAATTGGGCTACAGTGAATATGGTTTGGTTTAAAGCCTCCAAATTTGGAGTCTGTTCTTGAAACGCTAGACATCCTCAGTTTAAAAAGAAACACTTAAGTAGTTCTCAGTTTCCTGCAACTAATCTCCATACATTAAAAATGGACCCTTAACATTTAAGAATTTGAAATTGTTATGTTCACCACAATTGTTTGAAATGCTCTTTCTTAGTCCTCACTGTCAAATTACTAGTCTCTTTATTAACACTGTGGGGATGATGACACAGCTTTTGAACATAGGCTCATCCTGGGGGATGCTAAACCTTCATAAAAAGGCAGGGGCCAACCACTGTTTACTCAACAAAATCAGCCTGGGTTAGGTAAACTTGCATGTACAACCGGAGAAATAAATCCATAGTAGAAAGTAGTATTTGTGGCAGCATTATTGATTGCTAGTTACTTTTTCCCACTTAACTTATATATATATATATACATATTAAAAAAATATATATGTATATAATATATATATATTTTTTTTTTTCACTTGTAGACCCTTTAGACTTTTTGGTCAGTTCAGGTTGCCGATAACTTTAACAACATGTTATGCACAGAAAACTTGAGGAAAGCGAATGAAAATACATATTGTGTTTATCATAAATATCCTTTGTGGCATTGAAAATAGGCGAAGCAGCTTGGCATAGATCTTGGTTGTGCTGCAGAGCTAAGTAGAAAATCCTGTTCCCTACTGCTTAGATACTGGGTTTGCAAGGTCTTTGTTTCCTCGTGTCTGTAAAGGTCTAACGTGTCCTTGGTTAACACTGACATAGTTATGTAGCATGAAACACACATTCCTTAACTGACTCAGACTTTTTAAGATACTCTGTACTGACTTTCATGCTGAAGCAATAATTGTGATAGTTACATACAGATAAAAACTTTCTTGTTTATAAGGACAAAGTTGGTGGAAACAACATTTAAACAAAAATACATACCAATTAAATATTTGCAGTGTAGAGCTTGGCAATAGAGTTTAACTTGGTGACATTTAATAAAAGCTTAGTGGGTGAATTTAATATTACTGGATATTTGTTTATTTAACAAATTTGGTCAGTGTGCAGTCAAGTTATTTTTTTTAAACCTTGGTGGAAAATCAAATTTATCTCATACAGGTGTTACATTCTTTCAAAGAATCACTGTTACATGTTTATGGATGACTTTGTAACAGGGCAAACGTACATTAAGAGCAAACTTAGCTGTGTTGTAAGGAAAAGCAAGTCTTTTGTACTATCTGGTATGAAAGGGAGAGTGCCAGAGGTGAATAATGGTGAACAGTGAACTAGGTGAGCTCAGATACAGATAGTAAAAAGCAGATTTCAGCTTTCACTTAATTACTACATTAGATGTATTAGCTGTCATTCCAACAGAATGATAAATTTAGCTATAGCACAGTAGTTTGGCAATGCAGCTGGCAACATTTGTAAAAGGCTGCTGTGGTCCTTAAAATGGCTTTGGATTAGACTGTTTAGTGCAGGTGCTTTGAAACTGTGACTTATGGTGGCTTTTATCCAGTTACCTGTTATTTCTATTAAATAATGCTTTGATGGTTCAGCAGGTTAAATATAAAGAGTTCAAAGCCATTTCTTCTTTGTATCCTACTGAAAAATTTCACCAGAGAATTTTGTTCATATTGCTGAGAACTTTGAATTAGTTTAGAATGTGTTTTGTTGCATATTCATTCTGAATTTCCATTTCTGGTTTTGTCTGAGGCTACTACATCATTAAAACAGCTGCTCTTCTTTCACAGGCCTATGAAGAGTACACCAGCAAACTAGATGCTTTACAGCAGAGAGAACAGCAGTTACTGGAATCGATGGGGAACGGAACTGATTTCTCTGTCTCCAGTTCAGCTTCAACAGACACAGTTGCATCATCTTCCTCCTCTAGCCTCTCTGTAGCACCTTCATCCCTTTCAGTTTATCAAAACCCTGCTGATATGTCACGGAATAACCCCAAGTCTCCACAGAAGCCTATTGTTAGAGTCTTCCTGCCCAATAAGCAAAGGACGGTGGTGAGTCAGATTCTGTTCACGTACTGTAACCGCAGTATTTCCTGTATCTCTCTCCCTCTGTATGCAAAAGTTAATTTAGGAGCTGAAAAAATACCTGTGCGGAGGTTAAAGAGGTGATACAGTCAGTATTTGCACTCTGACATGTTCAGTTGTTTCGATCTTTTGAATGTTTTCTAGAGGGTTAACACAGATGAGTTAGCAAAGATGTGTGTTACACCAGCAATACAGAATACAAGACTTTTAGAAGTTATACAACAATTAAGATACCTCAAAATTTAGAATTTTAGTAGTATTGTTTGTATGTAAATTGGAAGCATATACTCTGGTCTGGTCAGCAGATAATACAAATCAATGGTTCAGCTTCAGCTCAGGGGGTGAGCTGACTTCTTTTTACTTCAGTTTTATACACAACTTAGATCCAGTTGCATTACTAAGTTGAACTTTTTTACAGTCTTAGTAAATTATCTCTGGTTTAGAGCTGGGAAATTATGCTTATAGGAACTCTTGAATGTTGGGATTAGTGGCCTTGGAGCTGAAGTTCGTTTCTCTGGAAACTAGAAGCAGTTCTCATCTTATTGAGAAGGCTGGGAATTTCTTGTACAGTGACTCTTAATATACTTACTCTGTTTTCAGTATTTATTGATCCTACATGTAGTGTATTGAAAACTAATAAAGTTTCAGAAGCAACCGCAGTTCAGAATTACAGCTTACAGTGCAGATTTGGCTGCCAGTAGTCAGATAATAGGCTACTAGCCTAAAAAGGACCCAGCAGTTTTCAGTGAACACTGACATTACTTGCTATGATAGACTTACTTTGTAGCCTCAATGGATAGAGAAGTGCTGCACACTGCATGCATCTTAGTCTTCCTTCATAACCTTTGGCTTTAAAACCATACCTGTCGTGTCTTACTTGTACCATTAAATGTGCTGCTTGCTTATGTAGCCATGATGGTAGTTTAGGGTTTCCAAATATACAGGATAGTTTCTGATGTGATGGGTTGAAGCAGGAAGGAGACTGCTTGTGAAAATACAGGCGAACTGCTATTAGGGTTTCACCTCCCATCCAATTCACCATTCCATATGGCTGTTAAAGTATGGATAAAATGTGTCCTTACAACCAGGTATGTAGCTGGGGGAAGAGAGATGCTGTGAAAGTTGCAGTGTTGCAACAAGCTTCCCCCACCCCAACCTGCTTTCAATTAATATCTGCTTCTGAAAGAAATCTTACTTAATATCACAATAATATTTTCAGTCTCTACTTCCAACCACAGACCCACTTCAGGATGGGGGAAATCTTGTTGTATGTTAGGGAGTCTATTTTTATCTGGGAATGCAGTGACAGTTCTTATACTGACTTAATTTAAAGTGACTGAAATTAAGTTGGTAACAGAGAACCAGCCTCCTTATTTGTCTTTGAAGCAGTCCCAAGTGCTACAGCAGCCTTCTGCTATTTGTTTAGAACTGTAAAAATGCAGGAAATGGGGAGGAGGGGGAATGCCTACATTTTTGACTAGCAGCTGCCTTGTTGCTTGAGAGCTGTCTACGTTTTTTGTTTATTAGTAGTATTGTTTGTGTGTAGGATCAAGCAAATGCATCTGTTTGAATTGGCTTCAGTTAGAAATGTAATGTAAGAAAACTGATAGAGTGCTGTCATGGTTTAAGCCCAGCTGGCAACTCAGAACCACGCAGCCGCTTGCCCCCTCCCCCCTTCCTCTCCCCGATCCCAGAGGGATGGGGAGGAGAATCGAAAGAATGTAACTCCCATGGGTTGAAATAAGAGCAGTCCAATAACTAAGGTACAACACAAACCACTGCTGCTACCACCAGTAATAATAATGATAAGGGAAATAACAAGGCAAGAGAATACAACCGTTCAGCACCCACCGACCGATACCCAACCTGACATCAGCAGTGATCTCACCCTTCTGGGTAACTGCACCCAGTTCTACATCCTGGGCATGACGTGCTGTGGTATGGAATACCTCTTTGGTCAGTTTGGGTCAGGTGTCCTGTCTTTGCTTCCTCCCTGCTTCCCCTCCTCCCTGGCAGAGCATGAGACTCAGAAAGTCCTTGGCCAGAGTAAACATTACTGGGCAACAGCTGATAACTGGGTGTTATCAGCGTTGTTCCCAGGCTGAAAGTCAAAACCACAGCACTGCACCAGCTAAGGAGGAGAAAAATGACTGCTGCTGCTGAACCCAGGACAAGTACAAAGAAATGAGACTATATTGATCAGTGTAAGTCATTTTGGGGCATATTTAGGGTAACTGATGTCAAGTTTTTTTGTATGTGTCATGGTAAAGCACAGTGTTGAGCAAAGCTTTTCCTAATGTAGGAAAGGTGAGTAGGTGCTTCCTTGGAAGCCTAGCCAGTATGTGGTAGACCCTGCTGCTGCTGACCAGTTAGCAGTTGGAAGTCAGCACCTTGATTGAGCCAGTGACAGAGCAGGATTAGAACATAACTTCTTTTGAAAGCAGAACCAAGTAGCTAGCTTGGTTAGTTGGATTGGAATTGATGAATATGTAGCATCAGAAACTGAAGATTTTTTTCCCTCTCTCATCAGCCTGGGAAGGGATGAAGAGATATTTCCTTCACTGAACAATCTCTTAAAAAAGCTATTGTTTGCTGTTCTCTGCTGGGGAAAAATGTTTATCCCCTATAATACAGAGAGATAAATGTCTGAAATACTTAGACTTCCTCTTTCCTCAGTGGCTTTGTTCAACTGGCAAGCTAAGCGTCCTTTGGAAGAAGCATTCTGTATAGATGTGCCCAGGATAAGTCTGTGCGGGTGTGTTTGTTTTGCTGTGTTCTAGGCCAGAGAGAAGGATGTTGAACTAATAAAAATGCAAGATGGTTAAATTCAACCTGAGGCCATCAGTTGTTTTGCAGAACAAAATGATGAGACTTATCCAAACTGTGGGTGGGAAAATTTAGGGAAAAATTAGTTTAGATCTTGTTTGGGTTAGGAATCTAAATGGATGTGGGGTGGATAGCAACAAACCTGGTAATTAAGGGAGAGCTGCTGGATGGGAGAGGGATGTAAGGACTGACCTTGAGTTGGCTGTTAGAAGTCCCAGAGATTTAGATGCTGTGACTTGGGTTTGGTGGGAGGGAGATAGTCCAGAATGGGAAGCGGATGATAGTGTGTCAGCATCAAAGCAAAGTTGACATTTACTGGTGAGATTTCTGAGAGTGCATGGAGCCAGAAGAAAATGCAGCCTTGTGGAATCCTTAGATAATTGTGTTGGGGACTAGGGCATTTGGTTTTTTTTTTCATATGACGTGGTTATATGTTGGAAGGTGCCAGCAGAGAGAGAAAAGAGACAGAAGATGACACTCATACAAATGAACAGGAGGAGACACATTGGTGGTTGTTGGGAAGGGGTAGTAATTCAGGGAGAATGAGGATTAGCAATTGATTAGAGGTATGTGAAGATGCCATTAAAGATCAAAACAGGGGAACTTCAATTTAATGTAAGAGGCAGAAAACTGGGAAAAGTTGAAAATGAACTGAAGGAGCTCCAGGCAATGAGCATAAACAGCTCATTTCATTTATTTATCCATATCATCTCAGATTACTGGAATACGGTATTTGTATATGGGACAAGATTTAAGCCTTTTTGGGTGCTGTCCCACTCTGGGCGGGATGGGGAAGAGAATTGAAAGAATGTAAACCCCATGGGTTTAGATAAGAACAGTCCAGTAATTAAGGTATAATACAAAACTACTAATAATAATAGTAAGGAAAATAACAAGGGGAGAGAATATAGACCCTAAACAAATAAACACAAGTGATGCACAGTACAATTGCTCACCACCTGCCGACCGATACCCAACCCAACCTGAGCAGTGATCTGGGCCTTCTGGGTAACTCCTCCCAGTTTATGTACTGGGCATCATGTGCTGTGATACGGAATACCCCTTTGGCTAGTTTGGGTCAGGTGTCCTGTCTCTGCTTCCTCCTGGCTTTCTGTGCCCATCCTCACTGGCAGAGTAAGAGACCGGAAAGCCCTTGATCAGAGTAAGTGCTACTTAGCAACAACTAAACACTGATGTGTTATCAGCGTTGTTCTCAGGCTAAAGCCAAAACACAGCAGTGCACCAGCTACTGAGAAGAAAAGTACTCCAGCTGAAACCAGGACATGAAGTCTAGTAGAAAAGAAGAGAATATGACAGGGATGCTTCTAATTCAAGTTCTTTATGAACAAGATCATGTATATATTTTGTTTGGTATTAACAGCCTTAAAGGATTTTGATTACCCAAGAAGTCTCTTCCCCCAAGTACTTACAGTGTGGGAAGAAACAGTCTGAAAGCAAATTAGCTGTCCTGAATGATGGATTATGAGAAGTTCGAAGTCACTCTTGATCTGTACATAGCCTGGTGCTGCCTGCCACACACTACTAGCTTCTAGAGGAAATGTTTGCTTTGCGTTTTCTGGCCTTCTTGGTGGAGTGGCTGTAAGTGTGGGAAGGAGGCTGCTGCTCTGCTCGGGAAGCTTATAGTGGGACCTCTTGCAGCTCCAGTGCTTGGTGTCTTTTTGTGAGCATGAACATGGAGTGGATGTGGCCATTTTGGATTTCATTTCTTTTCAGTGGTGGTCTGAATAGTCAGTGGAGGAGGGGAAGAAGAGTAGCTGGTGCTGTGCCTACTTTGGGAAAGCTTGGTGGCCTCCAAGTACTTCAGGTTGTCCACACAGTCGCAATAGAATCAGATCATTGTGTGCATTTTTACTCACCATGAGGTCTAAAAACTTCCTACAGCAGCTTCTAAACCAAAAGGAATGTGTCATTTGTTTGGGTGTTGGTTTTTTGTTTTTGTTTTTGTTTGTTTATTTGTTTTAATTTCCATTCTGTATTCAACTGTAGATTGTGTGGGGTTTTTGCATTCTTTGTTTTTTCTGTAAGAGTAATTAGAAGCAAGCTGTGTAAAAAACAGCATGAATTTGGGCCAGTGAAGCTCTTCTCCACTTTCAGCATTGGTATGCTTCATGTAAGTGCCA